AGGCAGCCGGAAGCCTGCTTTTTTGGGCCATGCAAAGGAAAAAAAAGTGGGTGCAACAACGCAAAGATAAATAGGAACCGTATGGTGTGAAATGTCAGTAAAATATGGCTGCGGCACCAAAATGGCACCTTGGCAAATGGAACCAAAGGCCAAAACCTGCGTAACATTAGCGCTTTCATCATGAGCCATACCCATGTCGTTTGAAGAAGTTTGGTGCCTCCCCGCAGCTCCTCCTTGAGGGCCTTGGCCGCCAAGTGCGCTGCCAGCACCGAGGAGTACACCGAGGACTCGACCATGGCCTGCACGGGGCGACTGTGCGAGGAGGGGCGACGGGGCGAGAGGGGGGGGCGGGGGGGGGGGAAGGGGGGGAGGGGGGGGGGGATTGTTCCCTGGATGCTGCTTCAAAACAAACGGAGTCACGTGTTATTTTGTTTTCGCTTCCTGAACATTCCTGAAAGCTTTTTTAAAGAGCTTTTCGGCCATCGTTCTTTTGAGAAACAGCTGGTTCCCTTGCTTTCCTGCCCCAAGTTTCCCCCAGTTGGAAGTTTAGACATGAAACGTTGGATCGACCACGACCAAATTGGTTTTTCCAAGCAGGAACGGTCCTGGTAACCGGCCACAAAGAAGGGCAGGAAGTCAACTCTTCGAAACCAGCCAGGGGTCCTTTCGCAGTTTCTGGCCAGTGAGACAACCATAAAGTCTCGTTGAGCTTGCGAAATATCTTAATCAAGACATGGGTGTGTCCTTTCTTTTTTTTCTCGGTGGTGTGCCTTTTTCGGTCGGATTTGAGGGAAACCAAAAGGAAAACCGTTGCGCCATTTTGGGGGGGGGGGGGTCCGACCCTAAACAGACAAACCCAGATGTATGGATGCCACAAGGCCGCGCTTGCGCATCCCAAACGGCCGCCTTGGTGTTGTCCAGCACCTCTGCGTCCTGCGCGCTGCCCATGGCAAAGCCCCCCGCGACGTTCACCACAGCATCCAGCCGCTCTCCCCGCAGCTTCTCCTCTACGGAGAAGCAACACCCCCCACGCGCCCGGAAAGAAAAAATGGGTTGAGATCGATGGAGAAGGGTTCCATGTGAACAGCAATTGGACATGGGTTAGTAAATCCTAAGAGAGAGGGACGAAACAAAACTATCAAGGTGGACTCAAACCCGGGGGGGATGGATTTCCCGGACACGCCGGTTTGGCCCCCCGATTTTCCTCAACCAAGCTTATTGTCCGTGCGAAGCTCACGTCAGAAACAACAATCTTCAGCTGTCGACACCTATCATTGGTTTGGCGATGTCTTCTCGATGCCATGTCAAGCTTCTACCCGACAAATCTCACAAGAGCTGTGAATGCCCCTTTCCTACTTTTTTCTCCTTCTTGCTGTCTCAACTCACACGATGAATCTTAAAAAAACAACTCAGGGTTTGCCCTTGTCAGCTTCTGCCAAAATGTTTGGTCAAGCTTGAGCAAGGCGCGAGGAAAGCTGTTGACCCAACATGTTGGCGGCTGATTACCACACCACACCAAAAAGCCCACACCCCCCCCCCGCCTCACAGAACAAGTGGGGGGAGGGTGGTTCTTCGTCAGTCGACATCAAAAGGCACCCCCCTCCGACATTTGGGTGTGTCTCAAATTAGGGAACCAAAAAAATTTGTTCCTTTTGGCTCCCTGCAAACCACCCCCAAAAAGGGGTACCAAGACAAGACACACCCATTTGGGCGTGGGTCAACATTAAACCCACCAATAAGCCGCAGCTTTTACGTCCATGTTTCCATTTACCCGTGCCTGCGCCATTTTGGGGTTTCCCTTTTTTTGGCTCACGGCGAACATTTCGAGCATTCCCGCCACGGCAACCAAAGAGGCGCTTGAGGCCCACGGCGCCTGCAGCGCCTCCAGCGCCGCAGCCGCGCCCAGGCCTCCCAGCGCCAGGTCCGCGCCGCCGGCGGCGACGACGTCCGCGGCGATGAGGCGCCAGGAGGAGGACGCGAACCTCGCGGGCGGTTCGAGCACACGGAAAGCGCGGAAAGCGCGGCAGGCCTTGGCCCTGTGGATCGATGGACGAAATCAGGCGAAACCATTCATCCATCCATTCCAGGGTATCTTGGGTGGTGCAGGGTTGGTGTTTATGTTGGGGAAGCGTCAGAAACGAGGGTTTCTTAGGTGGTGCAGGATTTCGTCCATCCACAGTATGGGGCGGCGATCCCCCAAAAGTGGTCTGAATCCCCACCAAAACCAGATTAATAAACATGCGTTTATTGATCCGGGGTCAACATTAGCCGTGTATGGTTTTGCAGCGCTCGGTAAAATAAGCTCAGGTGATATCCCCAACAGCATGCGGTGCTCTTTTTAGTGCTCGCACAGCCCCGCAGCCCTCGTGGAACCCTTGTGGAACCCTGGTGGAACCCTGGTGGAACCTTGGTGGAACCCTCGGGGAACCTTACCTCAGGGTCGCCCCGGACCACCCCGGAGCCTATCTGGGCTGAGACCCCAAAGCTGTCAGCTGTTGGGGGAAAAGTCGACATGGCACACCCTTCACGAAGAGGAGACAGGGTACTGCCAAACCCCCCACCGAAACAGGAAATTCTGCCTGGCACCAAAACAACGGCTGTCATTCAAAGGGACTGCCAAAGCGCTCGCAAAGGGAAGTTGCACTTCAAACAGCGAGAATTGACGCTGAGACACCTACTCCGAAACAGCGAATTATGGTTTCCCTCACCCAGGTCACCCGGAGATCAGCTCCCCCCCCCCATGTTGGAAGCTTCAAGTGCCTGCCGCACACCTGCCGGCCCAGCTGCCCCGCGGCGCCCATCACCAGCACCCGCCGAGCCATTGGAACCTGCTGCGGCTTCTTCGCGGAGCGAGCTGCGTCTGGCGACTGGGGCCGTGAAGTGTTTGCTGTCTTCACCTGTCGCAAGCCTGCGCTGCTGCGAAAAAATGGTGATGCTGCATGTGAGGGCGGGAACCGAGGGCGTGTCCAAATGGTGCAAAATCACCATCAAAATGAAGTAATGAAATCCTAAGAGTTCGATGTGTATCAAGGGTAGAGACCCCTTGTCTAGGAAGCCAACAAACTAAACGAAGCCCAGACAAGGCCAAGAGGAGCCCCCAAATGAGCCCGCGCACTTGCAAGAATCCACAGAAAGCTTTGAATGCCCTTGCTGCGGGCATCAAAAAACTTGGAAAGTCCTGTTTGGAAACTCTGAACAGGGTCGCTTTCCTGAAAATCCCTGGATGTCATTCCCTAGCTGCAATGCGCAGGCAAAAACAGCTGCACGCAGATTTGAAAGGTGGACTGATGCCATCCTAACACACGCCTTTGCCAGGGCTTTCCACCGTTGGCCGACGTGAGCTCTCCCTTTTTTCTCCCACAGCATCCAACGCTGCTGTCTAGCGCGGCACGCCCAGCCTCGGAGACGCTCCAGCGAAGCGCGCGACACGCTCTGACAAGGTCCGTCATGGACAAAGCAGTCTACTAAACAGTGCACGCTTAACGTGTAGTCCTCTCAAAGAGTGACCTGGCCCAAAGCCACCTTTGCCCCCCCAAACACCCCCCGCCCCCCCCCCCAAACAGCCCCCCTCCCTTGTAATCCCTTCAGTCTCAACCAAACTAACCTCGCCCAAACCACACACCCAACCAGCCCCAAACACCCCCCCCCCGAAATCCCGCCCCGCGCTGGCTGGGCCCCGGGCACGCCTTTCCGGAGCTTCTCGCAGCGCCAGTGCAGGCGCACCAGAACCCCGGGCTCGAAGCCTCGCTTGGTGCCAAGTCCATGCGCGAAGAGCAAGAACTTCTAGACTGAAAATGATGAACCCAATGAAGTGGATGTTGAACTGTTGAATCTAATGAAATTGATGATGATGATGATGATGATGATGATGATGATGATGATGATGATGATGATGATGATGATAATAATGATGATGATGATGATGAATGCATGCTGATTTCCTCCTGGAATTATCAAACATATATCAAGCAACAATCACTTCAGCTGGGCGAAATGTTGGAATTGCCGGAAAGAAGAAATGAACCTTCGTATGGGCAAACGGGTGGATGGGGTCACGTCGTGGGGCAACGAGAATGTCAGGTGTATGTGTGATAACTTTACACGTGTGGAGACGGGCACCAACTTTGGGCGATGCTTACTTTCCTGAGGTCAAATTGCTTCTCAAGGCCTAATGGTCCTTCCGATTGCAGCAGGCATATCCCCTGATCTCTGCTCGGGATCCCCGCTAAACCCCCCCCCTCAAGGGGTCCAGCAGGAGATTCGTCGGCATGGGCGTTTTGTTGGTCTCCATGTGGCCATGGGTCAAAATCCAAATCGTACCCCCAGCGAACATCCGATTCAATCCAACCACTAAAATAGGTTCTAAAAAGGGTGGTAAATTCACCTACCAACCAAAATGGGATCCCAAAACGGTTTTGACAACCACAGCCATGTCACTGTCGCGTCAATGTCGATGCCCCGCTGGGGCCACCGGCGAACAGCTCCTTCTGACCACTGCCGCAGTACAGCCAGGGCCTCGCGGCCTGCCATAGCGCTCTCGCGTCTCTCGTGGTCCAAGTCAGACTGGACCCCGAAGCACCATGCTTGACGCACTGTGGATGGACAAAATCCTGCACCAAGTTAAAGCCACGGGAAACCATTGTTTGCTGGTATTTACAAGGGAGTCATCATCCCATTTTTTCTTAGGTGGTGCAGGATTTCGTCCATCCACAGTATGTCTCATGGGACTCAGATACCCTCCTTACGGCTTACCACAGGGCTATGCACCAACCAGAGGAGAGCAGGAGGCATGAGGTGCAGTCTGTGGTTGAGGTTTCCAATGGGTCCCGTCGACTTGCAACCTGAGCTCAGGATGTTCGACAGGAGAGGTGGATGAAAGAATGAAAACACGAACGCCGAACAGCAAAAGACGCAGGCAGGCAGGCAGGCAGGCAGGCAGGCAGGCAAAGAAACAAAGAAACCAATGAGAACAAACAAATAATAAGCAAAGAAGCAAGACAAAGAAGCGAAGCAACAAAGAAACTAAGAAACTAAGAAACAAACAAACAAACAAACAAACCAACAAACAGACAGACAGACAGACAGACAAACAAACAAACAAACAAACAAACAACGTAATTAATGAGCAAACGAAATGTGGACGGACAAAGGGACGGACGGGCACACACACACACAGCATAAAAGCACGTAAACAAACACACACAGGCAAGCAAGCAAGCAAGCAAGCAAGCAAACAAACAAACAAACAAGCAAAGACACACACACACACACACACAATCCACCCCACAGCAGCATGTTCTCATGCGCAGGCCGCTGAAACTGACACACCTAACTCCTCACATGGCCTTAAGAATGGCCGGTTGGCCATGACGTCCCTCGGCCAATTTGCCACCCGGCCAAATCGCTGCGCGCGCCTACATCGGCCCACAGCAGGTCGTGGTAGCCCATCGCTGCACTGAGCTCCTCAAGTCGTGGGAGCCAAGGGTCCCCTCCGCTTGGTAGGTTCCTTGGGGGAGTTGGGTGGGTTACAAGGCTCAGAAGTCATTGTTCTTGATGGTTATAGTGGTTCTTGACCGGGTTCTAGAAGTGAGTGCCAAGTGGCTCCAAACCATCATGATCATTGTTCAATAGATCGGTTGGTCGGTCGCTTGCTTGATTGGTTGCTTCGTGGGTTGGTCCCTGTCAACAGCGTGCCGGTGGAAGGCCCTGAAATTCATCGTGCGCGAAGTGGACCTCGCAGACCATGCTCTGTTTGTACTTGTCTCAATAGGGAAGCCAAAGCCAACTTTGTGTAGAAGGCCGTCCTCAGTTTATTACGTACACAATCATGCAGCAAAGAAGCCTGCAACCCCAACACTTTGCACCAGACACTGACAGCTCCAATTCATCAGCACCCTAGAAACGCTGGCGACTTGGCTTCTTTGCACCCATTTTTTGTCGGGCAAGCACTAGAACCCCGGCCGATTTTGGGGCGCAGGAAAGCAACGTCCAACCCAAGCCGCCAGCCCGGCCCTTCGGAGGCATCACATGTTTCAACCGGCCCTTCGCATGCCCTCCACGTCCCAAGCCACGCAGCCCCCCCCCCCCCCGCCTCCAGCGATCGCAGCAACCACTGCGCCGCCCTGGGGCGGATGGATGCGACAAGGGACGGCCCTGGGCCCTGGAAAACGGCCTGGATGCGTGTGTCTTTTGGTGCATCTACCCCTGTAGGAGGCTAAAGGAGTACCAAAAGACTACGAAAAATGAACGAACAGGGGGAAGAACGGGTGAAATCCACACAACCTGCATCCAAACCGTTTTCTAGACAGAGCCAATGCTAGATTCATGGCTACAAATTCAACAATTGTTCAGGTTGCGTAACTACAAATGCATGCCAGAGTTGCCTGCAAAAATAGTACGAGACACACCGCACACTCAAAAAGTTCGGCTTCAAAGCTTGTGGTGACCTTTTCTACAAAAGAAGTACTCTGGCTGCCCCTTTTCCACAAAACTTCGAGCTTTCTTCCTAAGGTGTTTGCCTCTTCTGGAAGCTCAAAACAACTCCAATGGACTTTTCAGTTTACCAATGCTCCGAACTCTGGATTTTGATTGACGGACTCACACCATCTAATCCACGATTGCTCTCCAGACTCCCGCCCCAAGTGTGCTCCGCCACGAACGAACATTGCTTTCTTGAAAAAGAGGGTCCAAGTACCTACCGAGGGTACCCTTTTGGGGCTGGTTCAACAGATTCAAAAGCCAGAGGGTCCAAGTACCTGATGAGGTGGGGTTAAGACAATTCAAAGTCCAAGGCGTCCAAGGCGTCCAAAGCGTCTGTTTCGGATTCCACCCTCTCGTTCTGGGCAAGAGTACGGATTCATGGGCGCCAGCAAGATCGCCTGGCGCGGTCACAGCACCAAAATACGAAACCTGAGTCACCCCCAAGTTGCGAAAAATATCATTGAAAGACATGTGTGTCTGCTTCTCTGCAGCGTGCATAAACAACCTGTTGTGGACGCGATGCATTTCACCAGGTCTAACTCACAACCTGTTGTGAAGGCGCATTTCATCCGGCATATCACGCTTGCAGGCTGCTAGCATGTCTAAGTCCCACCTCCCCGGCACAACTCGCTCTTGCCAATGCTAAGCGGCAACTTAGCTGCAAACATATCAATGAACCAAACACGCCGCATACAATCTGTGAACGTGTCAGGAGCAACAACTTACAGCGGAAAGCTGCCAGTTGCTCGTATTGGCAAATCGGCCAAAACTCAACGAGTGCACCAGCCTGAATACGCGCGCAGCCATTGTTTCAAGTTGTCAACTTAGTGGAGTATGCAGCTAAACCACACTCGAGATTCTGAGCTGAGAAACACACCCAAAAACCAACTCATCCCACAACATGTGCACAGAACAGACTCAGTCCCGAGCTCTAAATATGTTGGCGTGAGTTTCAAAGACATAGCCAACGGCGAAAAAGCGATTCCTTGGCATAACCATCTGAACTGCAACAACAAACAGCAGAATCGCACGCCAAAAGCAAACATCGAGACAAATGCCCCAACACAACAATCCCTTAAAAGCCAAAGTTCTGTTCGGGCTTCTCCCTGTGCTTTTTTCGTCTCCTCTCTGCAACCCTCACCCACCCCAACCCCGGCCTCCACGGCCCCCCGCTTGAAGGGGCACGAGGCGTGGCCGAGCAGTGCAGGGCCTTGGCAAAGACTTCACTGAGGTCTGGGCATGGAGTGGCTCTCCCCCAATAATTCCCCGAATGGGACATCTGTTCGTCGACCTGGGGTTTACTTTTCCGGGTTTCATTCAACGGATGGCATGGCTTTCTGGCTCAAAATTGAAGAGCTACTGTGGATGGTTGCGAAATCCTCTTAGGCACCACCTAAGAAACCCTGGTTTCTGATGGTTCTCCTGTAAATACCAACAAACAATGCTTTCAACCATGGTTTTAAAGTGGTGCAGGATTTCGTCTCCACAGTAGCGCAGGTCTCAGTCTTTGGTTCCATTTACCAAGGTGCCATTTTGGTACATAGTTTTGAGCCACAGCATGTTAGTAGTGGTGCTCCTGGCGGCGGAGCGCGCTACTTCCTACTTTTCCAAGTGCTTTGGTCTTTCAGCCAAAGCGCTTGTCAGGGCTGAACGCGGCCATATCAGTTTTTTTTTTGCAAGAGCCTGACAGCCTCTTGCATCGGGTTTAGTGGGACTTGTGGGCAATTAAAGCGGCCCCTCTGAGTTTCCCACAGGGTTCCCACGGGTTTCGCAAAGGTTTACTATGGCTTTGACACCAACTTGCAACAGCAGCAACAGCAGCAGCAAGTATGGGATTGATTTATCCCTTCTCTCCCACCGATTTCCGGGAGCCGATTTGACCAATCGGCTCCCACAAAACCCCCCTTTTTTTGCCACCTGCTGGGAGCCGATTGGTCACAATCGGCTCCCACAAAACCCCCTTTTTCTGGGCCACCTGCTGGGAGCCGATTTGACCAATCGGCTCCCACAAAACCCCTTTTTTTTTGGCCACCTGCTGGGAGCCGATTTGACCAATCGGCTCCCACAAAACCCCCTTTTTTTTTGGCCACCTGCTGGGAGCCGATTTGACCAATCGGCTCCCACAAAACCCCCCCTTTTTTTTGCCACCTGCTGGGAGCCGATTGGTCACAATCGGCTCCCACAAAACCCCCTTTGTTTTTGGCCACCTTCTGGGAGCCGATTTGACCAATCGGCTCCCACAAAACCCCCTGTTTTTTTTGGCCACCTGCTGGGAGCCGATTTCACCAATCGGCTCCCACAAAACCCCTTGTTTTTTGGCCACCTGCTGGGAGCCGATTTGACCAATCGGCTCCCACAAAACCCCCTTTTTTTTGCCACCTGCTGGGAGCCGATTTGACCAATCGGCTCCCACAATCGGCTCCCACAAAACCCCCTTTTGTTTTTTGCCACCTGCTGGGAGCCGATTTGACCAATCGGCCCCCACAAAACCCCCTTGTTTTTTGGCCACCTGCTGGGAGCCGATTTGACCAATCGGCTCCCACAAAACCCCTTTTTTTTTGGCCACCTGCTGGGAGCCGATTTGACCAATCGGCTCCCACAAAACCCCCTTGTTTTTTGGCCACCTGCTGGGAGCCGATTTGACCAATCGGCTCCCACAAAACCCTCTTTTTTTTTGGCCACCTGCTGGGAGCCGATTTGACCAATCGGCTCCCACAAAACCCCCTTTTTTTTTTGGCCACCTGCTGGGAGCCGATTTGACCAATCGGCTCGGAGCCGATTTGACCAATCGGCTCCCACAAAACCCCCTTTTTTTTTGGCCACCTGCTGGGAGCCGATTTGACCAATCGGCTCCCACAAAACCCCTTTTTTTTTTGGCCACCTGCTGGGAGCCGATTTGACCAATCGGCTCCCACAAAACCCCCTTTTTTTTGCCACCTGCTGGGAGCCGATTTGACCAATCGGCTCCCACAAAACCCCCTTTTTTTTGGCCACCTGCTGGGAGCCGATTTGACCAATCGGCTCCCACAAAACCCCCTTTTTTTTTGGCCACCTGCTGGGAGCCGATTTGACCAATCGGCTCCCACAAAACCCCATTTTTTTTTTGCCACCTGCTGGGAGCCGATTTGACCAATCGGCTCCCACAAAACCCCATTTTTTTTGGCCACCTGCTGGGAGCCGATTTGACCAATCGGCTCCCACAAATGCTGGGAGCCGATTTGACCAATCGGCTCCCACAAAACCCCCTTTTCTTTTGGCCACCTGCTGGGAGCCGATTTGACCAATCGGCTCCCACAAAACCCCCCTTTTTTTTGCCACCTGCTGGGAGCCGATTTGACCAATCGGCTCCCACAGAACCCCCGTTTTTTGGCCACCTGCTGGGAGCCGATTTGCACAAAACCCCCTTTTTTTTTGGCCACCTGCTGGACCAATCGGCTCCCACAAAACCCCCTTTTTTTTTGGCCACCTGCTGGGAGCCGATTTGACCAATTCCCACAATTCCCACAAAACACCCCCTTTTTTTGGCCACCTGCTGGGAGCCGATTTGACCAATCGGCTCCCACAAAACCCCCCTTTTTTTTTGGCCACCTGCTGGGAGCCGATTTGACCAATCGGCTCCCACAAAACCCCTTTTTTTTTGGCCACCTGCTGGGAGCCGATTTGACCAATCGGCTCCCACAAAACCCCCTTTTTTTTGGCCACCTGCTGGGAGCCGATTTGACCAATCGGCTCCCACAAAACCCCCTTTTTTTTTGGCCACCTGCTGGGAGCCGATTTGACCAATCGGCTCCCACAAAACCCCCTTTTTTTTGGCCACCTGCTGGGAGCCGATTTGACCAATCGGCTCCCACAAAACCCCCTTTTTTTTTGGCCACCTGCTGGGAGCCGATTTGACCAATCGGCTCCCACAAAACCCCCTTTTTTTTGGCCACCTGCTGGGAGCCGATTTTACCAAATCTTCTCCCACAAAACCCCCTTTTTTTTTGCCACCTGCTGGGAGCCGATTTGACCAAATCGGCTCCCACAAAACCCCCTTTTCTTTTGGCAACCTGCTGGGAGCCGATTTGACCAATCGGCTCCCACAAAACCCCATTTTTTGTTGGCCACCTGCTGGGAGCCGATTTGACCAATCGGCTCCCACAAAACCCCTTTTTATTTTGGCCACCTGCTGGGAGCCGATTTGACCAATCGGCTCCCACAAAACCCTTTTTTTTTGGCCACCTGCAGTTAGAATAGGCCAGGCGCAGTTAGATAAAAAGCGCGAAATCTGAAGTCCGAAAATATTCTACCCAAAAATCTCGCGAAGGTAAGGCGCCCCTTGGAAATCCTACCTGCATCAAATCTTATGATAAATATTTTTGAGCATATTTATCGTAAAATTTCAGTTGAGTTATTCATTTGTTTCTTCTGATGTTCTAGAGTTGCACAATGCCTACCCCATAGAGAAGACATAACCCCGCTTTTACACTTATTGCATTTAAAATACTCCTTACCATCTTGAAAACGTATTCTGTCTGGTTTTTCTTCATTTTCAAATTCTTCTGGATGTTCCTTTCTTCTTAATCTGTCTTGATGATATAATGTTTGTTCGTGTTGGCTTTTCTTACACAATCTCAATTCATATTTACAGACTTCGCAGTAAAAATTTCTTAATTTATATGTTATGGTCGGTTCTTTTACTTCCTTCGCTCTCTCAACCCCTTCCTTTTTACATCTACGATATTCCCTATTGTCTTCAATACATAGATTACACAATTTATTTGGTTCAGTGAATTCTTCAACAGCTTTTGATTTATTACATCTTGAACAATGTTTGAATACAATTTCCTCCATACTGTATTATGCTCTTATTTCTTTAAATACATTTTACAACAAATAATTAATCATTTTTCAACATTTGGATATTCCGGAGTTGCGCATGGCCCACCTTGTAGGATTTTATCTTCAATATATAAAACGCTATACTTACATTATAATTATAACATATAAGGGTATAAATGTTATTATTATAGTATGGTTTTAGTCAAAATCATGCCCCGAGTTTATCAAAATAATGCCCCGATTTTATCAAAATCATTCCCCGATTTTATCAAAATCATTCCCCGATTTTATCAAAATCATTCCCCGATTTTATCAAAATAGGTGGTGGTTTGGTTCATTGCAATTGCATGTGCTCAAGTTGCAAGCCCAACCCCAAACTCAAAATCCTTAATCCGTCAAACTCACTAAGATTTCGCAAATTAATTCGCTAGGTATTTTATATAGGTCTTCTTGCTAAATAATTCTAATAAATTCATATTATTAGAATTACTTAGATATTAATTATTCAAATAATACATATACTCCATCATCATTTTTTGAAATTTTGTAAAATTCTAAAGTGGTGCTTTTAGGTTGTTTGATTTTTCCTGTATTCAACATATCACAGTATTTCTTTTGCTTTGTAGGATAATCACCCGTTGGTCTTCCTATAGATTTTGCTTGAAATATCTTTTCGATTTTTTCTTTATCTTCATTGCGTTCAACTGGTTTCATTTTGTCATCAATCGATTTAATCATATCATTTAAGGTTTTGATATTTTTACCAATTAATGTTATCTTCTTCATTAAATCATTAATAGTATAATTCTCATTTTCAGACATTACTATATATTTATTTAGATAATTATTTATTTAATTATACAATTTACCTGAATAATTTAATGTTATATATGTAAATAAATTATATTCTAAGAGTCTTTCATCAATTTTATTTTTCAATTTTATTAAACCTTCATCGTTACCTGTAATTTCAAAAAACTTCAACATTTTATCAAATTTATCTGGTTTAGTTATACCTTTCATAAAATATTTATTATTAAATTTAGCATCTAACCAATAAAAATATTCTATACTCAATTGTCTGGCAAAGTTTTTATCACCATCGAATATATCATTAATTTCTTCATTGTCAAAAGTTATAATTCTATGGTCTTGTCCATTCATAGTTGGCATTATGATTATATAAATAATTAGATATTTATTTATTTATTTAATTATTTATATTTATAAAGTGCAATTATGTTAAATCTACTCTTTAAATACTATTTTTTCATGATTTGTTTAACAGTTTCCTGAGTTTCGTTTTCATTATTATCGGTTGGTGTTGCTTGCCTACCAAATTTAAAAGTTATACTATGGACATCAGTTTCTAAGTTGATACTGTCTTTT